CCAGTTGCTTTCATGTTGCAAGCGGCAAACTTTGGCGCCGAATCCGGAAGGGGTTGCGACATCATCCATGCAGCTCAGTTTCATAGGAAGCCCGTATTTTCAGTTGGAGAGTTATTGCACCTCACCTAGAAAATTAAAAGATCGCCAGCACTTTTGGAAGGACGCCACAACAAGACCATCCAAAGTAGACCCATTTAGATGTGTGTTGATTTTAAAGGGTACCTTATTTTGTTGTGGTTTTAAAGGAGCACCACCATTTGGGGACACCCTCAAAACCAAATCTTATATTTTGGAAACACATCCATGAGCCCCCAGCCGTTTGAAGCAAGCTCTAGGGGCCATTGCGACTCCACAAGTGAAATGCTCTTGAAATGGGGCAGTGACCCCCTTTGCTCACCCCGTGAGCAGGGATCCCGCATGATTTGTCTTCGAAAATGGGAACCATCAGCATTGCCAGGAGGTTTGCGCCTATTGCATATGAGGTGCCAATATCGCCTGTCTATCCAAGGGCCATGTCGCTAAATGTTCACAGGGGACGAACCCTAATTTCTTCGAAAGTTAAACTTCTGGAAGAGGGGTCAACAACAGCAGTCAAGCTCTGATTTCATATCCATGGATTTCCACAAGACGAACCACCCGCATTTTCTCGTTGAATCTTCCCACATCCTCTCGGGGGTCACTCGCCGAGTCCAGGCAACTGGGGAATGGAAGAAGCCTTTGCCTCAAGACAGCGGAACGGGCTGGACTCAGGGCAAACAGTTCTGCCAAGAAGCCTCAGTACTACACACATAGATTTTAGGCCGTTCCCAAAAATGGGACCCTCAAAAATGGTAATGTTTGTTTTTCTTTCGGCTTCCCTGAAAAAAAAGAGCACATTCAAGCGAGGGTCGCGTTTTTTCTTGGTGTAATCGTAGTCACTGCTGAGAGTCTTGTTTTGTAAAATATGTTGCGATGTTTGCTGGCTTATTTTTTGTTGCGCTGTCTCTGTGTTGTCCAGGGGCTTGCAGAGTTTCGCGCCGCCTAACTTAGTGTGAGAGTGAATGCCGCTGCTGCATCGTCAAGCCATTTTGTCAACCAAGGGCTGTTGATTTCAGGTTGATGCATTGCAAGTCTTTACCCAGAAGTATTCTGGCCACGGTCGTGGTAAGCTTGTCAGTTGCACAGTTGTGGCAAACGACGCTGCTGCTGTTCTGTGATACCAAGTTGGGATTGTCATCTCCACAATTACTTGTTCACTTGGGGGAATCAAATCCCAAGGGCATCTCAGAAAGTGGCATCCTCAAACCAACAGAGTTATTCCATAACCCACGGTCACCTGGAGGGATGTGGCTATCAAAATAGGGCGACCCAAAAAAGAAGGCTTTCCTTGTGGTTGACCTTTAAGCCAAGTTGAAACAGATACCCTCAACACAATCGCCCACGCCCACGATCAATCTTCGGCTCGCCTCCTTCGCGAAGCCGACCGAGGAAGCGCCTGAAGAACGGCACGGTGATCTCCGTGAGAGCGTGAGACGGTGCGGGGTACTTCGCCTCCCTGCGAAGAGTCATTCAGTGACGTCCTCGACATCAGATCCTTATTGGGTTCGGGACCGAAATTTTCTTGTGGCTTTGGGAGAAGCAAAAACTGGTGACCCCCAAAATATGTCCGTGCACAGCGGCCCTTTGGGGAGTGGCTGCTTGAGGCTTCTCAAAATGAGGTGCAGAAACCTAGGACCCTTCCAAAAATCAATTATGGATAGCTTCCCAGCGGGCTCTGCCTCAAAATGGGATCCCTGAATCTGTTTTTTCATTTAGGCTTCCCTCTAAACTCCAACCAGACATTGCTATTGCTTCGGGGCCGCTGCTACAAGCCCCCCCCAGCAAGATCACTAGCGCTGGACCCAGGAGAAATACAGCGCGGGCCCCAACGATCAATCGTGCCCCATGTTAAAGGGATTGATTCCTTTCACTTGTTGGGTGGGAACGCAAGCTATTCCAGTTCGCACACCAAGTCAGGCTGGAGGCAAGAGCTGTGCAGCATATTTCCCAAATGTGATCTGCTCAAGCTCTGGAAATTCAACGTGTTCTTCAGTTGAGCTGTAAAATTTACTGTGGTTGTCTTGAGCCTAAAGCGTACTGTGGTGGTTGGTGTTATGCGGATCGTTCTTATGTAAATAAGGTACATCTTGTAAATGGTCCGTTCGAGGGTCATGGTTTGAGGAACACTTTCGATGTTAATATTGGGTGGTAAAGCACCCGTGATATTGATGATGGGGCCATGTCAGCGTGTTGAAGGGATTCGTGCAGTATTCACCGCCAGAACGGCACCGGGAAGGGATGTTTAGGATGTTGGATATGGTTGAACCCTGCCTTTATCAAGGTGCCGGAGTGGAAGAGGAGGTTGCAGATGCATAGTCAGTTGCCTTCTGTGTCGCCCGCCAAAGGCGGGCTGATATGCGGCGGTCAACATGTAGACATGAATTCTGCAGTCTGCCGAGGTGCAATCAATCCCTTTCTTGTCTCAGAATCAGGATGTTGTGCGGCTTTCAGTTAAGCGGACGCTTGTTGCACCGAGCACACAAACCGTAGAGAGCCGCCCTATTGCGTGGTGGATTTCCGGAGGTTCCCCACTTACCCATATGACTGTTTGACAAATGAACCAGCGGGTCCATATCAATGATTCAAGCGAGGCTTACACATTCAACAAAGTCTGGCTCCTTTCTCTCGTTTTTTTCTTTTTTGCATGGTGTTGGTTTGGCCCCCGCCTTCCTTTTCTCTTTCATGTGTCTTTTTTTGGTTTGATGTTTCAACCTTTTCTGAGTCCAATGAGTTTTCAGCTCGCAGCGGCCCTGGCCTTAGTGCCATAGAGATACGGATGTGCCATTTGAGGGAGGATGTTTAGAGTGAAACGGATACCCTTGACAGGGGGTCCCTTCAAAAGGAAATCGATCTTTCAAGTACCTCCCCGCAGGTGCCATGTTAGTGGGAGGAAGGATACCGCTTATGGGGATTGCCCCAGACCAAAAGCGTTATATTCCAAAGGCTGGAATCGCGTAGCTTTCTGCCAAGGCAGGTTTTCTCAACTCGGCACTGACTGCTGGTTTGCGGCGTTCGTCCCCTTTGCCGGGCACCGGCAGGGTGCTGAATGCTGGCCATGTCAGCTGAGCTGCTGGACGAGTGCTTGCAGTGCACATGTGCAAGGGTCAGCAAGAGCAATGCCGTACTTGTCTTTGGTGCATTTTGCTTGGAAGTTAGGACTTTAACTTTTTGCCAATTAATGGGTTTTCCATTAAACCACTAAAAGTTGAACTTTTAGCAGGGGAGCAGATAGCAACCGAGTTGTACACAATGATGTTGAATGATCATCGGCAGCCTTAGCATGATGGTAAGCATTCAGTGCAATGCAGTGGCCAGTATGGGTATCGTTCGATTCATTCGTCACCATCATGGATGTCATCAGAAGTAAGGCACAGGGCACACTCAATCACCCCCTGTAATCGGTAGTTAGCCATGAAACTCCGGGTACAAAGGCCGACTTTGTCGGCCAGCCGTCAACCTGTCAAGCTGAGTCGGACACGAATTTCGAAGGTTGCCACACATGAAGCCACCGCACCCCAAAGCAAGTCCGGGTCACCACGTTCTGCGGGCCCCCCAAAGAACCCCCACCAAGTTTCGAAGTCTGAAGCCTCACTTGGGGGTCGTCAAGATGCTGGAAGTCTGCAGGCATGCACATGCTGTATGCTGCATTTGGACTTGAAGTAACATCATGCCACTGGCAAAGATATGGCTGACAATGTGGTGCCGGGGGGGGGCCCTGTCAGGTTTCCCTCATTGGAAGGACCCGATCTGAACGACCTCCATGAAGCTTCAATTTATAACCTTGTTTCGGATCAGTCGCATTTTGTTCCAGATATTCGCTTCTCCATTCCTGGATGAGCCCCTGTTCCCTCAAGAAGGCCTTGGGGCAGGCCCTTGGCGGATCATTTTGCTTGCAGCTCGAGTGAGACATTTGGTGCTCGGTTCCGAGGCTCGTCCAAGTTGCTCAGCGACCGTTCGCCTGCGGTGTTTGGTGCAAGAAAGTGGCGCTGGCAATGGGGGGGACGGTGCAGTGGTGCCTCTGGTTCGCGTTCGGCGGCCACTTTTTCAGCCATTTCAAAGTGGAGAGGAGCCTTTGTGAAGACGTCTTCCAAAACCCTTCCATCCTTCATGAGTTGGAAAAGGCCAATCCCAGAAGCGGGGCGTTCCATGGCTATGAATCCATGACACGTGTTCCAAAGATTCAGGAGTCTCAGACCTGGGCCTGTCCACAGACCCATGGGGTTGGGCAATCAAGTCATTGGCTTCTCGGTGGCGTGGCTCCGGCCGGGTAGGTTTGGCGGAAATGAGGGTGTTGCAAGTTTGGTCATTTCGCAATGTAGGTTTGGCGGAAATGTAGGTTGGGCGGAAATGTAGCTTGGGCGGAAATGTAGGTTGGGCGGAATGAGGGGGTGCCCCCAAACTGCTGTTTGAGTGGTTCAGCGGCGGTTTCTTGAATTTGCCCGTGCTTTCCAGGCCTAGGGATGACCATGCTGCGAAGGAGCCACGGAGCATTGCCAGTATTCTTTTGTCCCAGGAAGCCCAGCTCCGACCCTAAGCACTTTCCGCTTAGCCATTAGCTCCCCGGGGGGTTTCCACGAGCGGCCCATGATGAATTGTTGCAATTGTGAACTTTTTAGTGGCATGGCAGCAAGTATGCGCTCCCGCCCACTTTCGGGTTACATCACTTGCCCAGGGTGCTATCGCAACATTTCTGCCATGCCCCTGAACTTTGCAAGTGGCACGGGGCTTTTCGAGAGGCAAGCACATTCAACCTGGTGCCCAACACAACGGAGTTGACCATCATCTGATGAAGGTCTCGTGCGCTGGTTGAGGAAGAACACACACATTTTGTTTAGACATTTCTCTTAGAGAACCCACCACAAGCTATTGGTACCAGGCTGGTTCTGTTTCATACACGCCAAACCATTCCCTGATCAGGCGAGACTCGGCTCCGATCACCTGTGACTTCATCGTGAAGGCCTTGGTTGCTTTTGCCTCGCGTCAAAACCAGCTTGACTTTGCTTTGCATTTTCCCCATAATGGGTATGGGTCAAAAATCAAGCCACCAGGGAACAGCAGGTTTTAGTCCTTGGTTCCAAGTACCAGGGTTCCATTTTGGGTACTTATTTTTGACCCACACTCCTAGCTTTGGCAATGCCAGAGTTCGAACATCCTTCCGCTCATGCGTTCCTGTTCTTCCCCCTGGTTCGCACTCTTTGAGGCTTCTTTTGGCGCTCTTCCAGGCACGACCTTCGAGATAGTTAAGGATGTGTCAAGATAGGGGGACCCCCAAAGTATATAAACAATTGCTCAAAGAAGCATTATCATATTGCGTAACAAAACATAACAAATCATCAAACTCCACAATCATATTGTAGTATTCCACATAGTATCCCAAATCAAAACAACCAACAATCAATCATAAAACGAACCAGCATAACCATTCTAGTCTACTTAGCACTTCATTCATAAAACCATAGTTCAAAGCAACCAACAAACAAACATAAATCAAAGCCACCCCTCAACTTGATTGAAACAAAGACCCTAAAATAGGTAACTGAAACGTACATCTTACAATGTTTTATATGGAGTATTGGAGTAGGAGGCTTTTGAGGCTTTCCCTTTCCGCTCGCTTTCTTGTCATCTGACACGATTACTTGTCGCAAATGAAAGCATCTGCTCCTGTCAGTGAATAGCCTGTGAAGCAGCTGCAGTGTCCGCTGTGTTGCATAAGTACCGCATATTCGCTGCGATGGCGCGCTTTCCATCCAGAAGCATCAAGTGCTGGAAAACTAAAGGGTGCAAGTGGGTCGTCTTGGCCAAGCCCGCCAGATGTCATCAGTTAGACATTTCTGGCAACTGGCTTCATCTATTTCACCCACGCTTTGGTGCAGTACAGAAAGACCTTGGAAACAGACCAAACTCCCAAACATCGCTACAAACAACTAGCCACCCCAGACCGCAAGCCTTGTTCCAGACAAGTAGAGGAGCGCTTAGAGGACAAGGTTACTTGAATAAGTAGCTTACCGCCAACAAGGAGGCCTTGGATAAGAAGAGGACGACCAGGGATCTCGCGAGAGCGGGACGTCAAGATGCCCGCTTCGGTGAGTTCAGAAACTGCGGCGCTTGTCTTGCCACACCAAGCCAATTTCAGAACGCAGCGGGGATGCTACCGTTACCAAGAAGATGCTGCTAAGGACTTGGATTCTCCAATGGCAGGAAAATCAGCAACGCGGACATTGAGAAGGTGAGTGACTGCTACACAAGCTCCGTATGTCTTCGCCAAAGCCCGGCGCTGATGCTCAAGTGACTGGTTGAGAACGTCACGTTGTGAGGAATACGCATTCCACTGTGAAACGTGCAGCCAGTTGACATAGTCATGTAAAAAGCATCGCTCATAATCACGCGCACCTTACACAGGGACGTGGAATCTTCCATTGTCTTGCCCTGAGTTTTGCGAGAGCATTTTTCTATCGTCTTGCCCTGAGTTTGCAAGTGCATTTGTCATTGACAGGTTGTTCCCGCTTCCTTTCTTCAAAGACTAGCGCGCTGCAGAGCGTTCCGTGGCTGCTCCTGCTTCCTTTCCAAGCTCATAGCGCTATTAGGCAGCGTGTTCCCGCATCTTGAGGAGAGGATGAGTGTCCAGAACGTTGTGTGAATTCCTTGAAGCCGTGCGAGAGAAGCGCTTGACCGATATGATGTTTCGAACAGTGTCACATGTAGCTTCAAGTTTAACAAGAAATGCAACAGCCCGCGGCTGAAATCGTGAGTGTGGGTCCATGCAATCCGTGAAACACTTAGTAGCTCTGCTGTGACTTAGTCAGCGCAAAACACGTTGATACTTCAACAACCACAAGAAGATCCTACTACGCTGGCAGGCTCTGGCAATTTTGATGCCAGAGGCTGCCGATCGCCTCACCGCCCGGTGATGCGTGCGTTGCCTTCCAAGCCAGTCCCACGTCCAGCGCTCACAGTTATTGGTCAAACCATAACAAATCATGAAACCAAGAACCGTGTCATAATACTCCACATAGTTTCGCACATCACAGCACCAACAGCCAATCACAAATCACAACAACCAATAATCAGTCATAAAACGAAGCAGCATAAACAGTCGTCATATTTCATGCGAGAAACCATAGCTCAAAACAATGAATACACATAAATCAAAACCATCCCTCAACTTCCTTGAGACTAGAACCCCTAAACAGTATACTACTTCTTTGAGAAAATGCTTGCACACTTTTCCCCCAACATGGTTGTCCTTTTGGTTTCTCTTTCAGCCAGCCTCAAAATGGTTCCTTAAAAGAATAAGCCACCCCCAGTTTGGCCTTTCCTTGTTTCCAAATGGTTGCAGGTGCTTTGGAATGCATCCATACCGTATCCTCGCCGCCAAAAAAAAAACGCAGGATGGTTGAGAGACTTGCCGCGCTTCTTGGCGGTGCGTTTGGCAAAAAATCTCACCCTGTCTGGAACATGTGGGATGAGGGTTCCCCTTTCTGGTTGGTTCGAAGGGGCATCAAAAGGAAAACCGCCAAATTCTCGACCTCACCGATCAGGGGCGTGCAGCCGAAGAACTAGGAACATTTCTTCCAGTTTTGGGCTGGTGAAATGTGATTTACGCATGAGGGACTTGGACCGTGGACTGGTGCAGGGCCAATGTCTACAACTCACGCTTTTCCGTCTAACTCGAACTTCCATTGGCCAGTGTGCATAGCACTTGAAAGCAGAACTTCCCCCCACAAAAACCACATAGGCATACATGTGCACCAAACAGGCTTTCCTTTTCCCCTCGCCGCTTTTTGATGGTGAGCTATCGCCAGGTTTTCATTTCCTTGGGCACCGCGAGGCGGTGGAGGAGGGCCTCTACAATGGCAAGACCTTCTATCGCCGCGGCCTTGACCGTGGACCTCAGGGCGGTCAGGCGGTCGCTCCGTGCGGTCCAAATCCTGTCGCTTAGTGCGGCGCAAATCCTGTCGCTTAGTGCGGCAGTCACTTTCACCTTCACGGGCCCGTTGAGCCCGTGTGGCCCGTTGGCCCGTCGGGCCTGTTGGGCTTGTTGGGGCCCGTTGGGGCTGTTGGGCTTGTTGGGCCCGTTGGGGCTGTTGGGACCGCTGGGGCTGTTGGGACTGCTGGGCCTGTTGGGACCGTTGAGCCCGCTGTGCCCGTTGGACCCGTTGGGCCTTGCGTTGGGCTTGAGCCCGTTGGGCCTTGGGCCTTGCGTTGGGCCTTGCGTGTAATGTAATTTAATGTATGTATGTATGTATCTGTATTTATGTTTGTAGTGTGGATTGTTATGTATGTGTTGTAATGTAATGTAATGTAATGTAGTGTAGTGTAGTGTAATGTAATGTAATGTGATGTACGTGTGTATGTATGTTATGTATGTTATGTATGCTATGTACGCATGTATGTATGTTACGCATGTATGTATGTAATGTATGTATGTATGTCTGTATGTATGTATGTATGTGTGTGTTTGTATGTGTGTGTATGTCTGTATGTATGTATGTATGTACGTACGTATGTATGTATGTATGTATGTATGTATGTATGTATGTATGTAATGTATGTATGTATGTATGTATGTATGTATGTATGTCTGTCTGTATGTATGTGTGTATGTATGTGTGTGTGTGTTGTGTTGTGTTGTGTTGTGTTGTGTTGTGTTGTGTTGTGTTGTGTTGTGTTGTGTTATGTATGTATGCAAGTATGTAATGTATGTTTTGGTATGTATGTATGTATGTATGCATGTATGTATGTATGTATGTATGTATGTATGTATGTACGTATATGTGTATGTATGTATGTATGTATGTTTGTATGTTTGTATGTTTGTATGCATGCATGCATGCATGTATGTGTGTGTTAATGTCGTGTAATGTGTGTAATATGTGTAACGCAACGCAGTTCCTTTGTGTAATGTAGTGTATGTATGTATGTATGTGTATGTGTGTATGTGTGTATGTGTGTATGTATGTATGTATGTATGTATGTATGTATGTATGTATGTATGTATGTATGTATGTATGTATGTATGTATGTATGTATGTATGTATGTATGTATGTATGTATGTATGTATGTATGTATGTATGTATGTATGTATGTATGTATGTATGTATGTATGTATGTATGTATGTATGTATGTATGTATGTATGTATGTATGTATGTATGTATGTATGTATGTATGTATGTATGTATGTATGTATGTATGTATGTATGTATGTATGTATGTTGTGTATGTATGTATGTATGTATGTATGTATGTATGTATGTATGTATGTATGTATGTATGTATGTATGTATGTATGTATGTATGTAAGCTATACTATGCTATGCTATGCTATGCTACGCTATGCTATGCTATGCTATGCATGTATGTTGTATGCTATGTATGTATGTATGTATGTATGTATGTATGTATGTATGTATGTATGTATGTATGTATGTATGTATGTATGTATGTATGTATGTATGTATGTATGTATGTATGTATGTATGTACGTATGTATGTATGTATGTATGTATGTATGTATGTATGTATGTATGTATGTATGTATGTTTGTATGCCTGCATGCATTTTCAGTCTGTGTATGTATTAATGTACTGTAATGTGTGTAATAGATGTATTGCAACGCAGTTCATGCGTGTGTGGTAACCTAATGTATGTTTGTGTTGGGCCCGTCGGGGTCGTTGGGACCGCTGGGCCCGTTGGCCCGTTGGCTCAACGGGCCCGTTGGGCCCGTTGATTCCGTTGAGCCCGTTGGGCCCATTAAGCCCGTTGGGCCTGTGGGCCCGTTGGGAGCTTGGGCCTGTTGAGTTCGTTGGGCCCGTTGGGCTTGTCGAGCCCATTGAGCGTGTTGGGCCCGTTGATTTTATTGAACTGACCGGTTTAACACCTGGGTTCTGACTGCACTAAGTGACGGGTTTTTTGCTGCACTAAGTGACCTGTTTAACACTTGGGTTCTGACTGCACTAAGTGACGGAATTTTTCCTGCACTAAGTGACCTGCTGACCCCTCAGGGCTGTACCGCTGTACCCGGGGACTGGGGGACCCAAACGCCATGACTATATTTCATTTTCTAGAAAACAATCGGAGCCTTCTGGGATGGAAACGGAACCCAATTCAGGTGCAAGCCGCCCCTTTTGTGGGTGGGCCATTCTGGGGACCCCCCAAAATGGGCGCAGCTTCCCTTGGTTTTGCTTGAGGCCAAACAGAAGGGTATCCTGAACAAACACGCCTACCATCGTCGTAAAGCCTGGCTTTGCCTTTGACTTTCCTTTCCTTTGATTGCTCCCCTTCAGGGCATCCAATCCGGCCACGGGCCATGCTCCGCGTAAGATGGAAATCCCATATAAAGTTGACCTCGTATGAAGCAGCTCCAGTTTATTAAGAAGGGGTGTCCTAGGTTTGTTCAAAAAAACATCACTTTTGTAAGGAACCACCCCCCTCTGAACAGACTGGGGTTGCTTAGTATGGGGTCAACATCACACAAGGGGTTTCCTTCGCTTTCCATTTGACATCCTGCCAAATTTCTACCCGAAGAAGGGAGTGGAAATGACATAGCACCAGGTTCCTCTGAAAGCTCGGCATTGACATGACAGGAGGAACCTGGCGCTATGTCATTTGGGTGCGTCCTTCTCTTTTCAAGGTACCTTTTTTGCGTGGTTTTCACAGGAAGCCATTTATTTTGGTGGTCTTGAAGGGACACCAAGAGGGCCCACCGGAGCTGACTCAGAGGCAGCGACTTTGTGATCCAGTGCGGGCTGCACCCGCAGAAAGCGCCAGGCAGGGCCAAAGAAAACGGCTGGCACCGGGAAGCATATGGGTCGAATTTTGTGAGGGCACCCTTTTTTGCGTGGTTTTTAAAAGGGAGCCAAAGGAGAACAGCCAATTTCCCGCTCCGAGACGAACCCATATTTTTTTTAGGGGTATTTGGGGCGTTGTTTTGCGGGTTGTTCCGGATATGTCTGGGTTATGGGTTTCCCTCAATGTTGGCACTTCATTCAAGCGGAGCGCAAAAAGAGCCAGGTGACATCTCGCGGAACGAGACGCGGGACGGGGTCTTCCTGTCAAACACGCCGCGGCTTCAATGTGGCCAACGAGCTGGGTGCTAAATAGCCCACAAGTTTCGATTTAGCCTAAAGGAAACCAACTGCTAAAAGGAGCTATGTTTTTCATTTTTCAGGCTCCCTATTCAAACATCGATTCGGAAGCTTATGAGTGGCTTCAAACGAAGTTTCTCGACAGGTCAGGCACTTTTGTTGATGAGGTAGGAGGCAAAGACAGACTGAACCCTTTTTTGGATGCCTGAATGAACTCCTGGCAAGGACAGAGGCCTGGCTGGCTTTTGGGGAGGTCTTTTAATCACGAAGTGGGCATAAAACGCAGGTGCACATTTCTGGGTGCTGCTCAGGTTCCCCTGTTTAGAGGAACATGAAAGTACTGAGGCCAAAAACCCATTTTTCCTTTGGAACCCAAGATATGGGGATGGGGATGTACCAAGAACTCCAGCAACCATGGGTGTTGGCACCGTAAATAAGGCGAAGCCAGCATGAAGTCATCTTCCGCGGTTAGACAAGTTTGGTTTTTGCTTTGCACGGTGCCATTCTTTCCACGGGTGGCTTTAAGGGAACCCAAGACCGGCCAGCATCCCAGGCGCGGCACTTGTGCGATCGCCCACTGGGACGTGCCGGATAATGGCGGGGTTGTGGGGTGTTTCGCGTCGTGAAACGCGGTGGGACGAGGGACCCCGGCCCTAAAGCAGGTTCCATGCAGGTTCTAGGGAGGTTCCTGTATGGTTGTCAGATGCGCCAGGTACCGAAATCAGATTTTTGATGATCGTCAACCTCAGTTTGGTGTGCTTCTTTCTTCTTACCGGCTGCTTTCAGGGTGTCACCCAAGCCCTTTCGCAAGCCTTTGCCGCGAGAGGGTTCTACCTCGTTGCCTGGGTGGCTGAAATTTCTCGGTTCTTGACCCGTACAGATGGCAAAGCAGACAATGGTGCCATCTTTTGTTTGAAAAGGTTTGGCTCCGGCTTGGAAAGATAAGAATAGACATGCCTGGAGAAACTTCAATGTCGGGAGGTGATCGAAGGCTAGCCATGGGCAGGCAACACTGAGTTCTTCATCAACCTGCAGGCCCGCAAACGGTCGGTTGCCTGGGGCAGGGAACCCAATGTTGACTTCAGATGAATCCGGAGGACAGCCAGAAACAACAAATTTATGGTTTCCTTGCAAGGGAGCCACCCCTTAGCACTTTCCTCGCCGAGATTAGTTACTTTTCAGGGATTCACTTGTTGCAATGGAATTTTAGTCGCCTTAGCTGCAAGAGTCCGAAGCAACGAGCAAGGGACGGCCGAAATGAGATGAGAGCGTTAGCAAGTGTGTGGCCATGGAATCAAACAAACTAAGCACCTCCATTTGGTGCTTTCAGAATGCGCAGAGTATTTTAGATCTGTCGCCTGTTGGATACGGAAGACGGGTACGACTGGTAACGTATCTGGGAAGGAAATCGCTTCGTTGGAGTCACCGCACCGTTGCCCCATGACTCGGAGCTGACTCATGGATGCCTGACAAAACAAACTTTATCACCCCCCAAAATGGCGTCCTTCCGAATTTCCCTTGAACAAAGCCAACGCTCTTCGGCACATTTTGAGGTGTTGGTGCTTGTGAAAATGAACACACGTTTCGCCAGCAGTTTCGTGGCAAGCTTTGGCCGATTCCAGGAGCTTTCTTTTGAAGGCAGTTCCGCCCTTGACCCAAGGATCCGGGTCGGCATTTTGATGGCAAAAGGGGGACCCCAACCAATCAAACGGCAAAAGATCCACTTTTCAGGATCCTGTAAACATGCTTTTCAGGATCCTTTGTCCCAATGCCCTCAGATTCTTGGTGCAAAAAGTCCAGCTGTGCAGACCGCAGCTTGGTCTTGGGTCCA